AGACGAGCGGGAGGCGGAGGCGCAGGAGGAGGGCAAGCTTGGTTCCTCGACCTGTGCAGAGGCCGGGGGGAGAGGGGGGGCGTCGCGTGCCCCTGTCCCCGATGCTCCACCTCCTCCTCCTCCTCCGAGGTCCTCCTCCTCCTCCTCCTCCTCCCGCTCCCACGCCGCGTCCCTAGTGCAGCAGTCTCCCCCCTTTGTCGCTCCACCCTGTCGTCGTCGTCGTCGTCGTCGTCGTCGTCGTCGTCTCGGTGGCGAGCGAGGGGGGGGGAAGGAGAAGGAGGGCGGCGGGGCTTCCCAGCAACCCCGCCGCTCTCTGAGAATTCTGTGTGTCTTCGGGGAAGGCCTGGAAAATGTTCAGAAGGCCGGAGGACTTCCGAGCCTTCTGAGAAGGCCCGCCCCCTCTCACTCCGGGACGCGCCGCCGACTTTAGGCGGGCCTGGGATTGTCTCAGGGTTTCTCGGGGCATCTTGGAGGCATGGCGGGCCACGATCTGGGATTGTCAGGTCGTTTCCGGTTGGTCTTGAAACATCGGAGCAGTATAAGAGAGATGTTGGTTCGTGTGGGAACGCGTGGGGGTTGTAGTTCAACGTTGGGGAATCATGGACGCGCGGGCTCTGAACGGGGTGACTTAAGAGAGCTACGTACAGAAACTCGGACCGGGCGATTTACCAGTCTCCTATTGCTCCACATCGTGCAAACGCGACGAGCGGATGGGAGGGACAGGAATTTGAAGAGGATTGGACAGGACGGAGGAGAAAGGGGAGAGAGGAGTATCGGCAAGAGAGACGCGGAGGAGAGGGGAGGAAAATATTGAGTGAACCAGGCAAGATGATGTACCAACGTCGTCGCCAACCTGTTGCGCACAACTGATGTCTTGTATGTTCACGTGAGCATCTACGTCATAAGTCAGCGTGTTGCTCATTTACATGTGATATAGGAGGAAACGGATGATGACATGCGTTTTTTTCCAAACCCACTTATCCCCCCACTCCTCGCCCTCATCGCTCCCCCCCATATGTTATCTCCCTCTCCTCCTTTCCCTCCCCCTCCTCATCCCTGCCCCTTGGCCCCAATGTTTCCCTTTGCTCCTCCATTGTTGTACCTCCAACTGTGACCGAGGTGAAGAAACTGCATAACAGTGTGAGCATGCAGGCCATGACCTGGTTTCCACCTGGTGCACGGGACCTGGTGACGCAGCTTTCAGAAACCAGGCTTGCCCGAGTCTTCTTCAGTGGACAATGACGAGTAGAAGGAATGATGATGATGATGATGATGATGATGATGATGATGATGATGATGATGATGATGATGATGATGATGATGATGATGATGATGATGATGAGGAGGAGGAGGAGGAGGAGGAGGACCAGTGTAAACCGACCCAGGGTGCATCAACGATCATGCAATGCAGCGTACCTCCAAGTTCCTTCTCCATGTGTTTCTGCAAGAGTTTATGCCCACTGCTGGAAGTGCCCCGTTGGAAGACAACCGTCTGAAAACCCTCAATCGTGCCAGGACATCACTTCTTGGATTTCAACGCCGCGAATCAATGTTGCTGTTGCGTCCTGATGGTCCTGCGTCGTGCCAGAACACCAATCCTGGGACCATCGAGTACGTTCGCGGCCAATCACAGCCGCCCCATGCTTGTCGGATACGCCTATGTGGTCGAACGTTGCGGCCAGGGCTCGGCCAAGCTATTGGATCAGGTGTTCCCCCCGCCGTTGCGGAACCCATTCGGGCGACACGTGGGGGAGAACGGAGAACAAGAGAGGGAGGACAGAGAATTCGGAGAAGGAGGAGGACGAGGAGGAGGACGCCTCTTGGGAGTCGCTTGGGGCACTTTTGGGGCCTTCTGGGAGCTTTGTGGGAGCTTTCTGGGTGCCTCTGGGAGGCTTCTTGGGAGCTTTCTTGGGCCTCTTGGGGGCAGTTGAGGGCTCTTTGGGAGGCTCGTTGGCCGTCTGGGCGTTCCTGGCTCGTCGGAACCTGTCCTGGGTGGCTCTGGGCCAAGTTGGGGGCCTCTTGGGGCGCTTCAGTGCCAGGCCATATTGGGCGTCTTGAGAAGTGTCCTGGGCCGTCTTGAGGCCCTGTTAAGGCATCTTGAGGGCCCCTTGGTCTGTCAGGGGACCATCTCGGTGGCCTCTGGTGTCATCTTGGGCCGTTGGAAAAGCCAAGCATGACCACCGCAGAGATCTTTCAAACGCATAAGGAGCATCAATGACTGTTCCCTTTTCGGGCCTTCCTGAAGGGCCTCTTGGATGCATGTTGGGGGCCTCGTGAGCTGTCCTGGGCCACCTTGAGGCCATCTAAGGCCGTCATGGCTGCATCTTGGGCCGTCTTGACTGCATCGTGCGGCCATCCTGGGCTCTATTGGAGCCATCCTGGACGTCTTGTAGGCCAAGTTTAGCGACTTGGGGGCTTCTTGGTGCGGTCTTGGAGGCCCTCTTGGGCCGTCATGGGGCCTTCTTGGAGGCGTCTTAGGTGATCTTGGGGCGATTTTGCAGACCTCTTGGGCCGTCCTGGGCCGTCGGAAGGCCAACAAAGGAGCGAACCCCAACATCCTTCAAACATATGAGGCACATCATTGATTAGGACATCGTCAGGTCTTCCTGAGTGCCTCTTGGAGGCCTCTTGGTGGCCTTGGGCCATGTGGCGACCACCTTAGCCCGTCTTGGCTGCATCTTGGGCCGTCTTGGGGACACTGTGCGGCCATCTTGGGCTACGTATTGGCCGTCTTGGGAGCCATCTGGGGCCGTCGTGGGGGCTCCTTTGGCCATCATGGGGCCATCTTGGAGGCTCGTCGGGCCGTCTTGGGCCGTCGGAGCGCCAAACTGGCGCAACAGCCAAACATCTCCAACCACCAGAGGCAAACACATGTTTTTGAAGTCTTCGGGCCTTCCAGTCGGTCCTCTTGGAGACCTCTTGGGCTGTCTTGGAAGCCTCTTGGGAGATTCTTAGGCCGTCTTGGGCCATCTTGAGGCTATCTTAAGCCGTCGTGAGTGTATGTTGGGCCGTCTTGGCCACGTTTGTTAGGCCATCTTGGGCTCTCGTTGGGCCATCTTGGCCGTCTGGGAGGCCATATTGGCTGTCTTGGAGGCTATCGTGAGGCCATCTTAAACGACACGGCCCACGGGAGATGGTTTTTGAGTAACTTTCCGGGTGGCTCGCGGGCTGGGCCGAAGCCCCAGGTGGAGTTCTTTCGAAAAGAATCACATGTTTGCCAGGCGTTTGGCACGCCGTGCACCCCTGGTGCACCCTTGTGGCAAGCCACGGGGCGGCGGATCTGATGGCTTTCGGTCCATCCCGCCACTGTGCCTGGATTGTGGGTCAGAGTCTTTAGGGATGCTTCTCGGGGTCTCTTCGGAGCGTTCTCGGGGGCCTCTTGGGAGCCTTTTGAAGGCCTCTTGGGACTTCCCAGGGGCCTCTTGGGACCTCTTGGGAGCCTCCTGGGGGCCTCTTGGGGCATCCTGGGGGCCTCTCGGGGCCGAGGGCTCGAAGTGTCCGTGCGGGTCCCCCGTCTTGGAGCAGTCTTGGGGGCCTCTTGGGTCGTCCTGGAGGCCTCTGGAGCCGTCTTGGGGCCCTCTTGGGCTGTTTGTGGGCCCTCTTGGAGTCCTCTTGGGCCGTCTTGGGGCCATCTCGGGGGCCTCTTCGGCCGTATTGGAGCGTCGGGAGGCTGAAAATATGAGAACGCCAAAGTAACTCGAAAACCTAAGGCACATTAGTTGATTGTGGCTCTTGGGGCCCTCTGTGGAGGCCTCTCGGAGGTCTCTTGCGCCGTCCCGAAGGCTTTCTGGGCCGTCTTGGAGCCATCTTGAGCGTCTCGGAGCGATCGTTCGGCGACCCGGAGTCCTCTTGGAGCGTCCTGAAGGCCTCCTGGTACCCTGATGGCCCGTCTTGGGCCTCTCTTGGCCCCGAGAGAATCATCCGAGAGCACGCCCTGGAGCCCAAGGGGGCACGCCCGGGGGCCCTGGAAGATCTGGCAATTTCGGGGCCGGGCTCCTCAAAATAATCATTAGGATCGAGGGCTGAGGCTCCAGGGGATAGGACATGGGGGCTTGAGAGTATTCCAATTCGTGCCTCGGAGCACGGTGGCGGATCACCGCGAATTAACGTGACCGTTGCGCCCTGACAGTCCTAATGGTGCGGGGACACGACTTCTGGGACGTCAGCCATGAGGGTTCCGATGAATTGCTGTAAGATGGAAGTGCGTGGCGCGGCGCCAAGGCGAGAAGTACATTTTATCCGTGAAGCTGCATCGGCGAAACTGTTGCCAATGCGCGCGTCGCTCAGGCGAGCGCCACTGCACATTTTGAAAACGACCCGCCCTCGATCCGTGAAGCTCTTGGCAAGCTTTTAAGACGAGTGCGCGCGGCCCTCAGGCGAGAGCCACAGTTTGTGTACGATGGTGCAGGCTTGGCCGGTGGCAACACCAACATAGCTCTACCTCTCACCTCACTGTGCGCTGCCCTTGAGGCGCAAGGGTCTCCGGGGGGCATCCCGACTCATAGTGCGGGCGCTGTCCCCCAGGGGGTGGGCAAATGTGGATAGGTTCACTGGTAGGATCATCCTTCTTTCACATTTTGAGAACAACCCGTGAAGACCTTGCATCTTGTTCAGGTGGAACGCGCGCGGCGCTGAGGCGAAAGCCACGCTTTGAAGGCGCCCTCCATCCGTGAAGCTCCTGCAGACTTTCGGAGCGCCCTCCTCCCCCTCCTCCTTCTTCATCCCTCCTCCTATTATTTTTCCCCTCCTCCTCCTCTTTCTCCCTCTCCTCCTCCTCCTCCTCCTCCTCCTCCTCCTCCTCCTCCTCCTTCCATCCGTGAAGCTCTTGCGGACTTGCTTTCAAAACGACTGTGCGCGGCGCCGGAGCGAGAACCGCGTGCTGAAAACTACACGCCCTCTATCCGCGAAGCTATTTGTACATAAACTTTGAGACGAGTGTGCGCGGCGCTGAAGCGAGAGCCACATTTTGAAAACGACCCGCCCTCCGTTCGTGAAGCTCTTGCACACTTGCAGAACGAATGCGCGCGGTGCTGCAGCGAAAACCACATGTTGAGAAGGACTTGCTCGCCATCTGTGCTTGGCAAACTTCCAAGACGGATGTGCGCAACGCTGAAGCGAAAACGGCATCTCGAGAAGAAACCGCCCTCCATCCGTGAAGCTTTTGCAAATGTTCGAAACGAATGTGCGCTGCGCTGAGGCGAGAACCACGTTTTGAGAACCGACCGCCCTCCATCCGTGAAACACTTGCAAAATGTTGACGACGGTGCGCGGTGCCACGGTGAGAGCCACATTTTGTGAACGACCCGCCTTCCATCCGTGAAGCTCTTTGCAAATATTAAAGACGAGTACGCGCGGCGCTAGGGCCATAGTCGAATGTGAAAACGGTCATCCGTGAATGTTTGAGAACGTTTGGACGAATGCGTGCGGCGCGGAGGCGGGAGCCACGTCGCGAAAACGCCCTTGAAGCTTTTGCAGATTGGTGAAGGCGAGTGTGCGCAGCGCTGAGGCGAGCGCCACATTTTGAGAGCCACCTGCCCTCCATCCGAAACACTCCTGCAAACTCTCAAAACGAATGTGCGCGGCGCTGGGGCGAGAACCACAGTTTGAAAAGGACCCTCCCTCCATCCGTGAAGCTGTTTGCAAACTTTGCAAACGTATGTGAGTGGCGCCAACGTGGGAACCACATTTTGAAAACGGTCCGCCCTCCACCCGTGAAGTTCTTGCGAGCTTTTAAAACAAATGCGCGCGACGCTGATGTGACAACCACGTTGTGAAAAGAAACCGCCATCCATCCGTGAAGTTCCCGCAAACTTTCAGAACAAATGTGCGCGGGGATGAGGCGAGTGCCACATTTTGAGAACCAGCCTCTCTCCATCCGTGAAGCAAGGTTGACGATGGTGCGCGGCGCTAGGGTGAGAGCCCACACGTTGAGAACGACCCGCCCTCCACCCGAGAAGCTCTTGCAGGCCTTGCAGACGAGTGCGCGCGGCGCCTGGGCGAGAGCCACATCTTGCCAAGGGTCCGCCTCCATCCGTGAAGGCGGATGTGCTCGGCGCCGAGGTGAAAGCCACGTTCTGAGAACCGTTCGCCCTCAATCCGTGAAGCTGCTGCAGATTTGAAGCTTCAGGATCACACGTCGCGAGGAAGTCTCGGGCGAGCCGCCCGGCCCGCCAGCCCTGCCAGCACGTCTCGGGGCGCGGCAGCAGGGAGTTGCTCACATGGAAAGAAGTGGAGGAGGAGGAGGAGGAGGAGGAACAAGTGAAATAATTGGACGAGGATATGGGGGAGGAGGAGGAGGAGGAGGAGGAGAGGAGGAGGAGGAGGAGGAGGAAGAGGAGGAGGCGGAGGAGGAGGGGAGGAGGAGGAGGAGGGGGAGGAGGAGGAGAGGAGGAGAGGAGAGAGAGGAGAGAGGAGGAGGAGGAGGAGGAGGACGAGGAGAGAAATCTGGAAACCAAGGGGATGGAGGCTAGGAGTTGGAGGAGGGAGGACGAAGGCTAAGAGGAGGAAGGACGACGACGACGACGACGACGACGATGAGGATGACGATGACGATGACGATGACGATGATGATGATGATGATGATGATGATGATGATGATGATGATGATGATGATGATGATGATGATGATGATGATGATGATGATGATGATGATGATGATGTGTGGTGTGGTGGTGGTGGTGGTGGTGATGATGATGATGATGATGATGATGATGATGATGATGATGATGATGATGATGATGATGATGATGATGATGATGATGAGGATGAGGATGAGGGATGAGATGATGGGATGAGGATGAGGATGATGAGGATGAGGATGAGGGATGAGGATGAGGATGAGGATGAGGATGAGGATGAGGATGAGGATGATGAGATGAGGATGAGGATGAGGATAAGGATGAGGATGAGAAGGAGGATGATGAGGATGATGAGGAGATGAGGATGAGGATGAGGATGAGGATGATAAGGATGAGGATGAGAAGGAGGATGATGAGGATGATGAGGAGGATGAGGAGGAGGATGGATGCTGGATAAGGATGCTGATGGTGATGAGGATGAGGATGAGGATGAGGATGAGGATCATGATGATGATGAGGAGGAGGTGGAGAAGGAGGAGGAGGAGGGTGAGGTGGAAGCGGAGGAGGTTGCGGGGCACAGGCCTCCTCATTGCGAGGCGTCGGGCATGTGATGCTTCATCTCACGTGCCTCGCGTGGACGCAGGGTCCTGGGCGCGCGAATCTGGTCTCTGTCGTGCTGCGAGTGGTCTCGATCACTCTCCCTATTCATATCGGGGGCGCGCCCAGGGGGGAAGGCAGAGGATGCGGGCCTCCTCAGAAGGTTCGGAACCACCAGGGTCTTGCGAGAAGTTTTCTACGTACGCCTTCCCCGAGAGCACGGAGTGCCTCTCGGCATGCCAGAGGGCGTCTGAGAAGCCCCACCGCCTCCTGAGACGGCTTGACCCCTGGGCGCGCTGCCGATGATCTGCCTCTGCCGTTCGCGGCCCTGGCCCCCCGACCCCCGACGTCGCGATTTTTTCGCAACGTCGACCCCCAGAGGTCTGGACCCTTTCGCCGGGAGCGGTTTTGCATTCCGAGTCGTTTTTTGACGGTCCCGAGGCCCGGCGAGGACCTCCAGAGGGCGAAAATAATCAAAAACCTCCCGTCGTGTTTTTTTCGCGACGCAAAGGGGGTCTGGGCCCCTTGCGTGCTGGGCCGGTTCAGAGACGCTCGCCGCCCACTTGCATGCCGGTCCCGACCGTGCCAGGTCCTGGACCCGGGAGTGGCGTTCTGGCCAGGCCAGAAGGGCGCTCTTCCTTGTGGTCCACCGAGCAGGAGTCCAGGTGGGTGGGTAGGGAGGGTAGGAGGGTGAGGGGGGAGGAAGGCGGAGGAGGAGGAGGAGGAGGAGGAGGAGGACGAGGACGAGGACGAGGAGGAGGAGGAGGAGGAGGAATAATGATAATAAGAAGGGAAGGACGAGAAGGAGGGGGGAGGATGAGGAGGGAAGAGAGGAATCTGAGCGAGGAGGAGGAGGCGGGGGGAGAGGAGGAGAATGCTACCAGACTGTCGGATCGTACAGCCATAGCGGTGGCGGGCCCTTGTGCTTATGAGGTGCGTGAGGCTCCGCCTTTTCTGAACTGGTGCCCAGGGGTCATAGTCTTTGTCTGACGGGATGTGCTTGACTGATTGTAACAACTTAGCCCACATGTCTGATCGAGACGATCGAAATAGGTAATTATTTAAGGAAAACACGGGCACAAAGACCGACTTCAGTTCTGGTTCATTATGAATCAGACTCGCTGTCGCCGTCGCACGTTGTACCGTTGAGTCAGAAGGCCGCCTGCCCAATAGCGGCCGCTGTCGGTTTGGGATTTGGGACAGCGTTTGTTGTTCGGCATCGTACCTTTTTTCCGCACCCATTCCAGATTGGCGCTAATAATTTAGCCCACACGTTTGAGCAAGAGTGTGACATCCACGGCGGGCGGATAATTGAAAAATAACTTTCGAGTGGGAGGGCGAGGCAGGAGGCAGGAGGAGGGCGGAGGAAGGAGTAGCGCCAAAGCGGCCGCCGCCGTCGTCGCCCGGGACTGCGACGGCCAGGGCGAGGCGGGGGAAACCAAGAGAGGGAGGGACGATCGGCAGACCAAGAGAGTGAAATTCATTTGGGAGAACAAGGTCAGGAAACACAGCTGGGAAACCAGGGGCACCAAGACAAGTACCAACTGGTTTAGTTCTCTCGTCAGTCTGGGTGCGGCACGAGGGCGGAGACGAGAGAGGAAGGCGGCCGCCGTCGCTCTTGTGGTCGCCCAGGGCGCCCCCCCCCCCGCGCGAGGCCCGAGGACCGCCCCACTGCGGGGCAGTGCCTGCGGCACCCGTGGCTGCAGCGGCCCAGGCAGCCGCGGCCCGCAGAGTGGAGGAAGGGGGGGAGAAGGGGCGGAAGCCAAATGCGGAGGAAGGGAGGGGGAAGAGTGACGGTGGAGGGAGGAGGTGGCCATAAAAGAGAGGGAGGAGGAGCAGGAGGAGGAGGAGGAGGAGGAGGAGGCCAGTGTGAACCCAAGGCCCATCAGAGATATTGCAATACACCTTCCCTCCAGGCTCCCTCCTCACAGGCCCCTGCAAGGATTCGTTTTCAATGGAGGAAGTGCCCCGATGGAGAATAACCGTTTGAAATTCCGGAACGGTGCCAGAACACCATTCATGGGACTTCAACGTCGCGAGTAGCCAGTATTGTTGCGTCTTGGCGATCCTGAACCGCGCCAGAAAACCATGCCTGGGACTTCAACACCACGAATCAACGTAACTGGTGCGCCCTGACAGTCCGACATCATGCCAGAACATTATTCCTGGGACGGTTACCGTGAAAACCCTTGAGCCGGTTGTCAACTCTCAAAACGGATATGCGCGGCGCAAAGGCGAGAGCCACCTTTTGAAAAGGAGCGCAGCCCTCCATCCGTTCAATTGTTGCATGTGTTATGACGACCGTGCGCGGCGCGCGAGAGCTGCATTTTGAAAATGGCCCGCCCTCCATCCGTGAAACTTCTCAGGAGCGAAAGAAGGACGTACATGTACATGGATCCACGCTGGTTTCGAGAGCACGCATTGCACAAATGTTCGTATAATGCGGCCCGTCTCGCGAATCGAGGGGCCGCGTTCATGTACATAGCTAGGCGCGTACGTCCTTTGTGGGCTCCCTAACTTCTGCATCTTGTTATGACGATTGTGTGCGGCGCTACGATGAGAGCCACATTTTGAAAACGACCCGCCCTCCATCCGCGAAGCTCTTGCAAATTGTTGAGGCGATTGCGTGCGGTGCTAAGGCTGGAGCAACATGATTTTGCCTCGGCCCGCGAAACTCGTGCACACTTGTAAGACGGATGTGCGCGGAGATAAGGCGAGAGCCACATGTTGAAACCGACTTGTCCCCAGTCCGTGAAACGCTTGCGAGTTTTTCAGACGGGTGTACGCGGCGCTAAGACAAGAGCCATAGTTTGAAAGCGACCCGCCCTCCATCCGTGAAACTGTGAGAATCCGTGAAACTGTGAGGATCCATGTTGTAAGCCTCGGGATCGTAAACGGTGAGGACGTCTCAGGCGCAACGCCCGGCCCGCCATTCCCTCTGGCCTCGGGGTGCGACAGTGAGGAGTTGTTCATAAGGAGAAGGAATAGAGGAGGAGGACCCCCCCCGCCTCGCCAGACCATCCCGCGCTCGGGGGGCTCGGTGGGGTGTTTGGAACCTCCACCTCGACGCCTCGATGATGGGGGCGGTCGGGTGTCCCATCCTCTTCCATCCTCCTCCTCCTCCTCCTTCCCCCTCACTCCTACTCATCCTTCCTCCCTCCTCCACCTCTTCGGTCCTCCTCCGCCCTCGTTCTCTCCCCCCCCCGCCCCCCCCTCCTGCGTCGCCTCTGTGCTCCGTGCTCACCCAGGATGCACCAGCACGCCCAGGCACGCGTGTCTCGCTTGTGCAGTGCGCTTCTATCCGTTCAGCTTGTGTTGACGTATGTAGTGGTGGGATGGACGTCAGTCTCTCTCCCTGCTTTTGCTCAATGGCCCGCCTCCTGCCCTTTCCCGGCGAGCCTGCTCCCCGAAGGAGGGAGACGGCATAAACATAACCTTTGACAGTCCGCGTCGATTTCTTAGATCCGCATTGGACCCCCTCTCCTGGGTGCGAGGAGCGCGCAAAGGGCGGCGCCAGAGGCGCAGCCGAGGGGGGTCAAGCGCAGATCCAAGAAATCCGGGCGGACCGTCAAAGTTTGAGTGTGTGTGCCGCTTGTTTGTATTATATATATATATATATATATATATATATATATATATATATATATATATATATATGCCCAGTAGCTCTGCTTCCCTTTTTCCTTGCGCGAGTCGAGGGGATCTGCAATACATGTTGATCCGTAGTTTTGGTGTTGCTCGAGCATGGACCGCGCGGCACAGGCTGTACCACCTGTGTTCAACGCGATCCTGCATCTCGGCCACTACTTCGAGTGGGGTCGCCAAAGAGGCCCCGTCTGTCCCAGCTTGGAGTGCCCAGCCGCGCCAGTCATCCCGCCGTGCCCCACTTGCCCGTCGCTGCAGTGTCCCGCGGTGGTCGCTTGCGAGACGAGTGGCGCTGCGCCCGACTGGTTGAGACAGCTGGAGGAGATCATCGCGAGGGTCGGCCGACTCTCCACATCGTCGTCGACGCCTACCCCTTGTCCGCTCCCCGCCGGGGAGCCCGAGCCGTGCGACCGGTGGACGCTTGCCTTCCAGCTGTTCTGGATCGGACTGCTCTGCGGCGTGTTGCTGACTCGGACGGTCGGGTGCGCCTGTGGCCAGTGTCGACGTCCCCTCCGACGGCCCTCGCCTTCGGCTGGCCTCGCGCTGGCGGACGTGGAGACGCCAGAAAGCCGGAAGCTACGGGGTGAGCTGTCGCGATGAGTCTGGACATACCAAAGAGACAGATATTGGTTCATTATCCTGATGATGCGATTCCTCACCATCACCGAGTAGTGTTGGTCAAGTTGGAGGGTGCGAGATGGATCTGGTCTGCCCCCGACTTCTCGGTGCGGGCGGGCGACTTGTCAGATCGAGCGGCCGTGGTGTCGATGATCCCGCTGCAGCGCGACTCGCCGTACCCTCCCAACTTGCATGTGTACGGATTCGACAACCCGATTGACGCTCAGGACCTGGCGAGGATCAGAGCAGAGGGTCGGGCGCTCGCGGAGATCCTCGGAGCGCCCGTCGCCGCCGTGGCAGGTGCGGCTGTGCCCGACGGCGCCGTGTACATGTATTCGGACCCGTCGTGCAAGTTCTTCGCGGAGGAGGTTGACGACAATTTGCTGGGCTCAGAGGCGACGACCGTGGCGAGAGGCCCGGTCGCGCTCGTGAAGCGCGGCGACGAGTGGAAGACGGCGGAGCGGGTCCCCCCGAGGGACAAGCTACGCTGGATGCAGGAGAAGTTGTGCGGCGAGAGCAGAGATTCGAGATTGCTACCCTTGCGGCTGGATCCGACCACGCAGACGCGCTCAACGACCTTGAGGGAGGCCGTCAAGTTGCTGAAGCAGTCGATGCAGGCCGACGGGTTCCCCTTCCAGAAGAGTCGTTCGATCTTGGAGTTAACCAAGGGAGTGGCGGCGTCTGGGCACGAGTTCGGCACGTGCCACACTTTCTGGGTGAGAAGCAGTACGGTGGGAGAGCGTACGGCGGTCGCCATCGAGCATTTCCACTTGCTGACGCTGCTGCACATGATGGTGTGTTATGATCAGTTGAACTTGCCTAACATGGCCGCGGCGGAGTTCGCGTCGCGCCGGGCGCTGATGATCCAGCGGGCAGTGCGCCGCAATCCTCGGAACCCCGATTTCGAAGGCCTCGACTCGTTCATGGCTCACGCCTTCGACGCCAGCGGAGGAGTGGTCACGACGCAGTTCGATCAGGAGATGGCCGAGATGCGCAAGACTCAGGCCATTATCATGAAGAGCGATCGTTTGTTGAAGGAGGAGTTTGAGGCCGACTCGAAGCGCCAGAAGGACGGCAACCACAAGGACAATAACAAGGACAAGAACAGCGACCCGAAAGGGTCGCAGGGAGGACGATGGCTCTACGGCCCCGGGGTGGCGCCGTTCGCCGCGGCGGCACCCCGTATCATGATCCCCGCGTGGGAACGGCCGGCGACCTGGGCGCTCTGCTTGCCTCAGCGACCTCTCCGGCTGCTGGCAGGACGAGCCACGGGTTGCACCTGGACGTCGACGACGGCGCTCTCGTGCTGGACTCGGCGGACCGGGACGTCTTTCCCCTTCCTTGTGTTGGAGATCGGCGTGATGCGCCCTGCGCGGGCATCTTACCGCGTCGCGCTGCCGCTTGTGATCGGAGGTTTGCAGAAGTTGCCAGCTCTCTGAACGCGCTGGCGGTGGCTCGTGCGGGGCATCGTCTTCGGCGGTGCACATCGGCATCGGCACCTACTGGACTTCAACGTGCTGTGGGTGCACGGCTGAGGGAGTCGCTCCGGGAGTTGGGGTGTTCCCCCTCGGGGCCTGACAGGAGGGGCGCCCTCAAAAGCGTCCTTCGAGCTCTGAGCGTCTACGACTTTTCCACGGACGACGCCGCCCGCAGGCCCTTTGATGCCTCCCGCGTTCGGGTCGTTCGTGACGGCGGCGTTCGCCCCGAGCCAGTCGGCGCAGTGGTCGGGCCTGACGCTCGGCCAATGGCGGCTGATCCCTGGAATTGGATTTTCAGGACTCCAACTGATGAAAACAGGATCGCAGCGGAGGCAACGGCGAAGCCCTACCTCGACCCCGTGCTGCGCGACCCGCGTCACATGAGCGCTCTCGTGAATAAGCTGAACGACGCGGGGATGCTGTCCTTTCGCCGCCGAGCGCGCTGCTTCGCGGGCGCCTTCACGGTGATAAAGAAGGACGGGCACCACTTAAGGCTCGGTCTGGACTGCAGGCCCGCGAACGTTTTGCACCGCGATCCTCCGGTCAGTCAGCTAGCGACGGCATCGGCCTTGGCGGGCCTCGTGTTGAGGGACGGCGAGACCTTGGCTACGGAGCACGACGCCGCGGGCCGTCCGTTAGACATGCCCTTCTCAGGCGCGGACTTGACCGACGGCTACTTCCAGTTCGAGTTTGAGGAGGTTGCCGGCTACTTCTGCCTGGCCCACAAGGTGCGGGCGAGCGACTTCGGCGTCACGAAGGTCTTCGATGACGATCGTCGATGCTTGGACTCGGTCGGCGCCGACGAGATGCTGTGGACGTGCGTGGAGGTCATTCCGATGGGCTGGACGTGGTCACTCTTTTTCTGCCACTCCGCGCTGACCGACATTCAGGTTTGTGCGGAGATGAGGCGGCTTGGCATCGAGGATAGTGAGGTGGTGGACTCGCGAGTACTTCGCGATCGTCGACCGCCCCCCGTTCTCCAGCCCGGCCTTCCCATCCTCGCGCCGTACGTGGGCAGCGCCTTCTTGATCTGCTGGGACCGCGAGGACGCCTCAGAGTGCTTCGGATACCTGTTGGAGGAGCTGAAGCGACGGGGCTTCGTGTGGCGGGACGAGATCTGCGCCGAGCGGGACGTCGTGCAGGTAGGGCTTCGGCTGCTGGGCGTGATCTCAGCCGTTCATCCTGCACAAGACGGAGCGCACGTGGCGGTTGTACTACGCTCTTCCTTCTGCCATTCGGTGTCGTCGCCATTCGGCAGGTACGACGCCTAGTGGGCCACCTGGTCAATCATTTTATGCTGTTCCCGCCTGTCATGTCTGTCTTGCACGATGTGTGGCGCTGGCTCTCCGAGCACACGGATCAGGTCGCAGAGCTGACCCCGGCAGTGATTGGCGAGTTGCAGACGGCAGCGGGCCTTGTGCTCATCACCCGACATCGTGTTCGCCTGAAGACGGCGACTACGGTGTTCTGCTCCGACTCCAGCGGGGCGGGCTACGCGCTGCACGTCGGCCGGTTTTCGGAGCGGGAGGTGCTGGGCGCGATCAGGTGGCGGGAGCACTGGCGATTCAAGACCATCGAGGAGTGCGCGCAGGACGACACCACGGACTCCGACCCTTTCCCCAGCTCCATCGCCGCGGACTCGGCCTCGCTCGCCCCTGCCTTCGAGGAGGAGCTGGGCTTTGGCGAGGTGGGGCCAGCGGAGTTAACGACCTCTACGCGGAGCGCGGGCTCTTCGGCTGTGGTGTCGCGGCGGGCTACTCTGGGTGCCGACGCGCACGCCCTGCCGGAGCTCGCGGCGGTCTACTCTGACCGTCTTCGGTGGCGACGCGCGGTGGTGGGTGCCTGGTGTCGTGCGGGCGCCATCCGCAACAAGGAGGCTCGGGCCGCTCTGCTGGGGCTCCGTCGCTATACGAGGCCCTCTCGCAAGTGGGATGCTGAGGTTCTGTCCGTCGGGGATAACCTGTCCGAGATCCTGGCAACCGAGCGCGGGCGCGCCGAGGATCGCGAGCTCAACGCGCTGTGCCGTCGAGCTGGCGCGCTCCAAGGAGTCACTGGGCTTCGGTGGCGCCGCCGCCATATCGTGAGCGAGAGGAACTGCTCGGACGAGGACTCGAGGTTGGCCGACCGCGGACTTCTTGCCGCAGGGGAGGCTTTGGGCGGAGGCGCGCTGTGGGCACGCCTCCGAGGCCGGGGCCGACATGAGCTGGCAGATAGAGACCGAGTTCGAGCTGAGCCTTCGTCGAAGACCGCCACTTCGCCAATAGCCGTTGCAGCCGCCGTGGATGATCGGGCTGAGCGGCCTTTTTCTTGTTCTTCATCAGACACTACGATCACATTTTCCACAAGTGGGCCGCTCCAATGAGAGCCACGTCGAAGGGAGGGGCAAGACTTCCGCCTCGGGCCGGCGCGGCTGAGCGCCGAGGAGAGAGCTCACTCTCCAAGCCGATTGCCCCGGCGCGGCGCGAGCTGGCCATTTTGGAGCTGTTCGCGGGATGCGCTCGTTTCTCAGGAGCCTGCCAACCAAAAGGATTGCGCATCGCACCGCCCTTCGACATAGGCACGTCTCGGGACTATGATATTACTGATCCTCGGGTACTTCGGAAGATCCTGAACTGGATTAAGTCGGGGAAGATTTGGCTGCTTTGGCTAGGTACTCCGTGTACTAACTGGACAAGCGCTCGCAGTTCTCCAGAGGCTCCCGACGACATCCAGGACCCAACCGCTGTGGCCACTCTACGTATCCTCCGTGCGGCTCATCGGTATAGAGTGAGGTGGATTCTGGAGAACCCCATTAGCTCTAAGCTCTTCAAGTGGACGCCTCTCAAGGACCTCTTCAAGACCCAGGGGACCCAAGAGGCCATCGTGGACTACTGCAGGTACGGCACCCCCTATCGTAAGCGAGCTCGTCTTATGGGAACTCTTGAAGGCCTCCAAGAAGTAGGAAGACTTTGTCGGTGTCAGGCGCCCCACGAGATCCTCCAAGGGAAAGTTAAAGTTGAAGTGGCTCCCGGCAAGCACGCCCTGAAATGGAAAACGCCCCTTGCTGCTGCGTATCCGCCAGCTCTATGTCGCGAATTGGCTCGAGTGGTTGAGCGTAATGCTCCACTTGCTGCTTTTCGTAATCCTCGCGAACCGGTACTTCATATCCGATGGTGTCGTGATCTGGCGGCCTCGTTCGGCGGGCGTGGAGTGGAACCCCCGCCAATCCCAACTTGTCCGAGAAGATTCACATTACCGTGGGGAGATCTCTCTCTGAAAGTTGGGGCTGTGGAGACTCGCGGGCACGGCGGCGTCGAGCGCTGGCTGCCCGCTCCCAAGCAGCTACGGGCCCTTCAGTCAGCACGCCTGCTGCGGTCGCACGGTCGCCGGCCGACCCCTGCGGCACGGCGCCGCCGCCCAGCTCACGGGTGCGGCGTGCTCCTGCAAATGCTGGTGGGAAGCTCTGCGCGCCTCCAATCTGTAGGACACCACTCCGACAACATCAGTCGGGTCAAGGGCAGCTTCGTCAACCCCGCCGTCGAGTACGTGCCGTTCGTCGGGAGGCCGGTCAGCTGGCCGGCACGGTTGGCAGCGGGGGTGGACCACCCCGCGCCCAGCCCGCTCGCCGTGCATGCCACGCCGCCCCAGCACCTGGTGTACGGCGCCATCGTTTCGTTTCGCTACAGCAAGCTCGGAAGATACCTACATTGTCTAAATCAAGTCCTGTTCAAGTTCGAAGTCGGAAATGCCGCCATGTGGTTCCTTCGCAACCAACCTGTCGGCAAGCTGAAGGTTGCACAATCATGAACCCCCCCACCCTTTCCCTCATGATCCATAGCCAGAAGTATTGTGGACGAGACTCTACTTTGGTAAGTTGGCCATGTCTTTTGTTCTGGTGGAGTCTCAGCCGCGGCTGGGCCGACAGTATTATCAGGCGAGCTGATTTCATGAACTGTATCGCTCGGGGTGGGTCGAGCGCACGTGCCAAAAATGGTGGATCTCCCAGGCTCGGTCTATCACCCTATCGTCGGTTGGCCTCTGTGAGTGAGTGCTTTGCTAATCGCTGAGCCTGTCGGCAACTCCGTCCCCTCCTGGGCTCTCTCCTTCCTGGGCTCCCGGCCTTTTTGGCCCGAGACGCTTTTGTAAAGGAAATGCCCAGTAGCTCTGCTTCCCTTTTTCCTTGCGCGAGTCGAGGGGATCTGCAATACATGCTGATCCGTAGTTCTGGTGTTCCCGCGCTCCCGCCCTGCCATCCCTTGTACCAGCGTGTATCCATAGGCAGTGGCCATGTCTTCTGTTCTGGTGGAGTCTCAGCCGCGGCTGGGCCGACAGTATTATCAGGCGAGCTGATTTCATGAACTGTATCGCTCGGGGTGGGTCGAGCGCACGTGCCAAAAATGGTGGATCTCCCAGGCTCGGTCTATCACCCTATCGTCGGTTGGCCTCTGTGAGTGAGTGCTTTGCTATTCGCTGAGCCTGTCGGCAACTCCGTCCCCTCCTGGGCTCTCTCCCTCCTGGGCTCCCGGCCTTTGGCCCGAGACGCTTTTGTAAAGGATATATTGTGTGTGTGTGCATATATATATATATAATATATATATATATATATATATATATATATATATATAAAAATGTGTATCGCTTTCTTTGTTTGAGTGTTCTCTCTCTCTCTCTCTCTCTCTCTCTCTTTGTTTCTCTCTCTCTCTCTCTCTCTATATATATATGTCTCTCTCTATATATATACATAGATTCCCTTTTCTATATTTTTACAGCCCGGGGGGGTGGTACCCCCCCCCTGGTAAATCCGTACCCCCGGGATCTGGAGATTTTAAGACCCCCCTGGACGCTCTTGCAAGGGGTCCCTTGGGCCTCCGGTCCACCTGGACGCCCTTGCCGGGCCTAGCCAGCGGGCCCAAAGCGGTCAGGAGGGTGGCAAAACGGCCCTGCGAAGGCCCCAAGCGGCTCTAAGAACCCACCGTGCACTCGAAGACGGCCCAAAGAGCACTCCGATGTGCACCTCGATGCGACAAAAAACATGGATTTTCGCATAGTTGTTCAGAGATTCTTGGAACCTCGGTTCTTCGGTCTTCCGGGCGTCCGAGACCGCCCGAGAGGCACGGACAAAAAGTCCCAAACCCAACCGGACCGGCCTCCGGACAGTCCAAGCGAGCGCCAAGATGGCCCAACAGGGCCTTGATATGGCTCCAAGAGATGCCCATGACGGCCCGGGACGGCTCCAGGACGCTCCCCAAAGCAATCCACATCGTGACCCGGTCGTTGAGGGAGCCCGGGTTCGCAGCACAGCGGCCCGAGGAACCCACCAGAGGCTTCCGAAGGGAGCCCCAAGAGGCCAAAACCGTCGAATTCCCATGGAGAAACACAAATTTCTAACATGCACGGGTTTTGCGCCTTCCGGGATTCAAACACGGACCAAGACGCCCCCTAATTGTTCCAACCGGGCCCGAAAGGCTCCGACGACGGTCCAAGAGGGCCCCAAATCGACGCAAGAGACGCCCAAGACAGCCAAAAGAAGCTCCAAAACTGCCGCCGAAAGGCCCCAAGGACTCCCACAGAGGCCCCCAACAGGCTCCAGCCCCCCCAAGAGGCCCAAGCCAGGCTCCCGAAAATACCACAATAGCTTCCAAAAGGCCTGCTGGTTTTTACGAGCTCCCCCAAGAAGCTTCCGAAGAGAGCCTCAAGAAGCCACAATCGTCGAATTCCTGAGAGGAAACGTGCAGAAGTCAGAGAAAAATTGTGGAATGTTTTTCAGACGAGAGGCTGCGAAACAAGATGCACGGCGCGAAGCGCCAGTGCAGTCTTGAATATATATATATATATATATATATATATATATATAATCTAGGGACGTTGTTATCTCTCCTTGCTTCTGTCTGCTGGCCCGCCTCTGTCCCTCCCTGTTCGGGCGAGCCTATTCCCTCACCCATCCCGCCGTCTGGCGGGAGCGTAGGGGCTAAGGTGGCGCTCATCTTCTTCGGGTTGAGAGCGCTGGGATCCGAGTCGCGCCTATCCCCCCTCGGGCGTACATAGCCCACCCTGCCCGGGAACCTTCGGGTCTGGCTGCAGTCTGTCCTCCTCCTCCTCCTCCTCCTCCTCCTCCTCCTCCTCCTCTTCCTCCTCAATATTCGTCCCCCTCCCCCTCCTCCACCGCCCCCCTCGCGCAGGGACGCCAACTCCCTGCAGGCCCCGCCGAGGAACCCCTTGCTGGATGTTCTTCGCGTTTGCGGTATGTTCTTGTGCATCCTGGGGCGGGTGCCCTTCGATGTCCTGCGTGTTTTGGTCGGCGGAGGCTCTCGTGTTTTTGAGGGATGTTCTTCTGGGGGCCCATCGGCCATCTGATATGTCGGCGATGCGTCGCCGATGCAAGCTCGGCGCTTCCCACGCTGGTCCCCCCTCGATCGTTCCCCCATCACCCCCTCCTCTCGAGAACAAACACGAACTTTCGGAAGTCCGCGCGGATTTCTCGGATCGGCGTTGGAGCCCTTGGCGGCGCGGGGTGGCCATCGCCGTTCCAAGAAGTCTGCGCGGGCCTCCAAAAGTTTGCGCCGTTTTCGATGTGTCTGTCCTGCCCCCTCCTCTCTCCTCCTCCCTCCCTCCCTCCCTCCCTCCCTCCCTCCCTCCCTCCCTCCCTCCCTCCCTCCCTGGTGGCGGACGCATGCGGGCGGTGCCACTGGGACCTTCGGTGGAGCCCCATTTTATGAGGCCACGAAACGCTGCATTGGGAAGTTGAAACGCATGGAGCAAGGGCTGTGCTGGGTGGTGGCGGACGCATGCGGGCGGTGCCACTGGGACCTTCGGTGGAGCCCTTTTTTATGGGGCCACGAAACGCTGTACTGGGTGGGTGAAACGCAGGGAGCAAGGGCTGTGCTGGGTGGTGGCGGACGCATGCGGGCGGTGCCACTGGGACGTTCCGTGGAGCTTCCTATGGACCACGAAGCGTTGTATTGGATGGGTGAAACGCACGGAGCAAGGGCTGTGCTGGGTGGTGGCGGACGCATGCGGGCGGTGCCACTGGGACCTTCGGTGGAGCCCCCTTTATGGGGCCACGAAGCGTTGTAAAACGCAGGGAGCAAGGGCTGTGCTGGGTGGTGGCGGACGCATGCGGGCGGTCCCATTTGGGACCTTCGGTGGAGCCCCCCTTTTGGGGCAACGAAACGTTATACTGGGTGGGTGGAACGCATGGAACAAGGGCTGTGCTGGGTGGTGGCGGACGCATGCGGGCGGTGCCACTGGGACCTTCGGTGGAGCTCCATTTTATGAGGCCACGAAACGCTGCATTGGGAAGTTGAAACGCAGGGAGCAAGGGCTGTACTGGGTGGTGGCGGACGCATGCGGGCGGTGCCACTGGGACGTTCCGTGGAGCTTCCTATGGACCACGAAGCGTTGTATTGGGTGGGTGAAACGCACGGGGCAAGGGCTCTGCTGGGTGGTGGCGGACGCATGCGGGCGGTGCCACTGGGACCTTCGGTGGAGCCCCCTTTATAGGGCCACGAAGCGTTGTAGAACGCAGGGAGCAAGGGCTGTGCTGGGTGGTGGCGGACGCATGCGGGCGGTCCCATTTGGGACCTTCGGTGGAGCCCCCAGTATGGGGCCACGAAGCGCTAACTGTGAAGAAATTACGACGTCGGGGGCCCAAACCGCAGGAGGTAGACGGGCACCCAGGCCAGGCGAGCGAACCATTAGTCTAAGCACGGGACGGTGTAGGTGGAGGAGGAGGAGGAGGAGGAGGAGGAGGAGGAGGAGGAGGAGGAGGAGGAGAGGGAGAGCTGAACAGATGTGGAGCGTTTGGGGGGTGCCTGCGTGCCCTAGCCGCCGACGTCCAACTAAGCGATCAGCGAGGCGCCCGATGCGATTCATCGTCCAAGCGGGTGCTTGCCGATTAACTAGATATGTGACCCTCGACTTTGCCGAACAGAAGGAATACATACCTTCACACATTGATTTCCCAGAAAAGTTTGGGGGCTCTTCCGCCGCTGACGATGGCCACCACAGTCCGTGCCCCGGCGAGCGGGTAATCCCCTCTCCCCTCCCCCTTGCCGCCCTGCCCTCGCCCGATGGCGGCTCTCTGTTTGGGAGTCCGGCCAAGCCGTGTGTCCCATCCACCATCACGGCTAACACACAAGGACATTCGAGCCGTTGCAACAGAGGCATGCGACCAAGAGACGTCAGGGTCCCCAGTTTCCGAATCCCCATCCCCTCTGGGAGCACATGCCCGATCAGAGTCAGACAGCAGATCAGAAGGGCGAGAGGCTGCAGGCACCTCCCTGTCCTGCGATGCTACAAGGGGGGGGGGGGGGGGGGGGCATTGCTCGTCGCGCCGGCGGAAGCTGGCGGTGTCCTCCTCCTCCTCCTCCTCCTCCCCTCCTCCTCCCTCCCCCTCCTCCTCCTCCTCCTCCTCCTCCTCCTCATCGTCGTCGTCATCATCACCATCACCATCACCATCATAATCAGCATCATCATCATCATCATCATCATCATCATCATCATCATCATCAACAACATCATCATCATCATCATCATCATCAGCATCATCATCATCATTATCCTCATCCTCATCCTCATCCTCCTCCTCCTCCTCGTCGTCATCATCATCATCATCATCATCATCATCATCATCATCATCATCATCATCCCCTCTGGAAGCGCATGTCTCTGCAGAGACAGACCCGAGGTTTCAAACATCTGCCCAGAGCTCCGACGTCTCGCCTTCTCCACAGCATGAATCCTCTCCCTGTCCATCCTCCTCCTCTCCGCCTCCTCGAGCCATTGAACCTCCGCCTCTCCTTCTCCTCCTCCTCCTCCTCCTCCTCCTCCTCTTCTCCTCCTCCTCTTCTCCTCCTCCTCCTCCTCTCCCCCTCCTCTCCTCCTCCTCCTCCTCCCTCCTCCTCCTCCTCCTTCTCCTCCTCCTCCTCCTCCTCCTCCTCCTCCTCCTCCATCCTTCTCCTCCTCCTCCTCCTCCTCCTCCTCCTCGAACCATTAAAAACGTTGTTCGGTAACGATGGCGGCAAGGGCTCCTGAACTTAATAGATCCATTTTAACTCCACCTCCCAACGTGGACACTCGAAGGACTGGACCACTTCCCCAGGACCGGTGTTGCGTCCTGGGTCGTGTGGGGCAGCTCTTGACTAGACGTAAGAGTGACCCTTCGCCGGAGTGACCTTTGGTGCGCGCTCACTGGGGTCCCCCGATCGCCGCGCTCGTTGCGATAGTAGCGTCTTGCGCGCTTGCGTTTGGCCTCCTCGCGCCCCCCAAAAAGTCGCGCACCAAAGGTCACTCTTACCCAGGGTCACTCTTACGTGCAGCCGATGACGGTCCTGGGGCCCGGCGAGGGCCCCCGGAGCCTGAAAAGTCGGGGGCGGCAAAGAGGGGGTGATAACTAAAGGGATGTCATGGCGTGGGGCATGATGTCTCCTCAGTTTTCGTGGCGCTTCTTCTTATTTCATGACGTCCCTGGCACCCCCCCCCTGGGCCGCGCACAAGCCTGAAGGGGCCCCAGGACACACAAATAAATACACAAATGAAAATATCCCCCATATTTTCCTATATTTTCTGGGTTTTTGTCTTCCCCCCCACTTCCCATATTTTCCCATACTTTCCTGGGAATCGACGAGTCATTGTGTCTGTGTGTTCTTTCCCCTCCTGAAAGCCGCTGGCCACGATTTGCACCCCCCCCTCTTGGACACCCCCCCTCTTGGCCGCCCCCGAGACGCTCTGGGGCCCCGGCGAGGGTCCCGGGAGCCCAGGAGGTGTCAACAAAAGGACGCCGTCGTGTTTTCACGGCGCGAACACGTGGGCTCTCCTCCTCCTCCTCCTCCTCCTCCTCCTCCTCTTCCGCCCTATTCCTCCTCCTCCTCCTCCTCCTCCTCCTCCTCCTCCTCCGCCCTCCTCCTCCTCCTCCTCCTCCTCCTCCTCCTCCTCCTCCTCCTCAGTCGAGGAAATGGAGGAGGACGAGGAAACAGGAAGAAGAGGACAGTGAGGCGGAGAAGGAGGAGACGGAGAAGGAGGTTGAGGAGATGGAGAATGAATGAGGAGGGTGATGAGGACCCATACGTCCTTCGCTTTAGCTTGTTCGATGCATGGACCCCCAGAGGTCTGGACCCTTTTCCCAGGGACCGGTTTTGCATCCTGAAGCTTTGTTTGACGGCCCCGAGGCCCGGGAAGGGCCCCCGGAGGCCGAAGACAGCGAAGAATCTCCCGTCGTGATCTTTTCACAGCGCGAGGAGGTCCGGGATCGCTCACCCGATGACCTTAGTTGCCCCGATACGCCCGTTTTGATACGCAATACGTCCCGTGTTCAAGACGTCCGTGTCAATACGTTGCGTGTTGGCTCCACGTATTGGACCACGTTTTGGCGAGTGTGTCGCGTCGGACCCACGTGTTCAGCCTACGTGTTGAGCTCCGTATCCATACGCTACGTGTTGCGTGTTGCGTGTTGCGGGGCAACATAGTCTGGGGACGATTTTGTTTATTATTTGTCGGCCACTTTGAGCATTTTCGCATGTTTTATTCTTCGTCCAAAATCCACCTGTAGGGGGGCATGCCCGACCTGACATAAACATGCTCTTGTGGCGCCCCGCTCTGATTTCTTGGATCTGCGCTGGGCCCCCCTGGCGGCGCCTTCGGCGTCGCCCCTGGCGCGCTCCGCGCGCCAGGGAGGGAGGTCCAGCGCAGGTCTAAGAAATCCGCGCGGAGCGCCAAAGGTTTATGAGTATGGCGTGTTTCCTTCTTCGGTTCCTGCTCCCTAGACATGCCCTTGTCGTGAGCAACACACGACGGAAGGTTTTTGGCCGGTTTCGGCCTCCAGGGGGCCTGGACCAGGCCCCAGAACCGCCAAAAAACAATTCGGGATGGGGACAGGGTCAGGGCTCCCGGGGAGAAGGTGGGCCTAGAGATCTTAGGCTCCGAACAAATTGGAGCGGCCGGTTTGGGGGTGTTTTCGGGCATCCAGGCACCCTCAGCGAGCCCCAGGACGGTCAAATAACATCTCAGGATGAAGAACCGTCCCTATGGGGAATGGTCCAGACCTCCTGGGGTCCACGCATCGAACAAGCTAAAGCGAAGGACGTATGGGTCCTCATCACCCTCCTCATTCATTCTCCATCTCCTCAACCTCCTTCTCCGTCTCCTCCTTCTCCGCCTCGCTGTCCTCTTCTTCCTGTTTCCTCGTCCTCCTCCATTTCCTCGACCGAGGAGGAGGAGGAGGAGGAGGAGGAGGAGGAGGAGGAGGGGGAGGAGGAGGAGGAGGAGGAGGAGTTCCTCATCCTTCCTCGCCTCATCCTCTGCCTCCTCCTCGGTCTTGTCGACGGGTGCGTCGCCAGGGCCAAGGGCCTTCAGAGGCAGTGCGAGGAGATGCAGACCGTGGTGAAGTGCACCCGTGAGCTGGGCTGCTACGACAGTATCATCAGGCTCCTCTTCCTTCGAGGGGGGAGGAGAAGGAGGAGGCGGGAGGAGGGATGAAGCTCGAATGTTTCGGACTTTCGTCGGTTCTTGGTGGTTTTCCAGCCTCGGGCTCCGTTCCAGCGGTTACGCCTCGCCGAGAGCGTTCTTGGGGTGCCCGGATCGCCCCGAACGGCCACCAGCGATCCGAGTCATGATCCGAGGACCAAGCATGTGGGGAGGAGATGGACCGAGGGGAGGGATGTGGAAGGAGGAGGCAAGTCTGGGGGGGCCGACCACGTATTTGAAACAGCTGATCAGTTGATGACAGCTATCATACCGCCCGCCGCCCCTGCCCTTGGCCCTTTGCATACGGCTGACCACCCTTCATTCCCAACCCTCTTGTGTGTGGGGGTCTCGTTTTGAATAGAGCGCTGTTGTCCCCACCCCATCTCCCGCCTCCCTACTCCTCCTGCCTCCTCCTGCGCTGCTCCCCCAGAGGCTGCGAACTGCGCAACTGTCGCCATTCTCGTGGGCTCTTGGGAGGCACGGCGGAGTAGGGGAGTACGCGGACCTAGCCGAGACCTTGCATCTCGCAGGGGAGCAGCGAATTGTGCAACCGTCGCCACTTTCCTGGGCTACTGGGAGACACGGCGGAGTAGGGGAGTGCGCGGACCTAGCCGAGACCTCGCATCTCCCAGGGGGGCCTGCGAA